TTCTGCCTCAGGGGTCTGCAGACTCCTCAAGGGCCAAATCCACCCACTCCCTATCTTTGCTAAAAAAGTTTACTGGAACACAGCTCTGCCCATTGGTTTACAAATTGTCTCTGGCTATTTTCATGCTAAATGACAGAATTGAGCAGTTGCAGAAGAGAAAGTCCGGCCTTCAAACCCTAAAATATTTACCATTTGTCCCTTTACAGAAAAAAAATTGTCAATTTTGCTCTCGAGAGCAGTTCTCGTAGTTCAACCCTCAATCCAGCAGCATTGCCACCATAGCACACCTCCAGGCCTGCCTTGAGACCCACTCACGGAGAAATTCTGGGTATAGACCCCAGGGATCTGTGTGGAATAAGCCCATCAGGTGATTCAGAAAACTGCCAGTCTAGATTCCTAGCCCCGTGGCTAATGATGTGGGCTTGATGACAGGGAGACAGGCAGGGTCTAGGAAAAAAGATACCCGTAAAAGTCAAAGGAGTGAGGGAATACAATCAGAAAACCGGGGGATGGGGGCCTCCAAAGAATCTCCAGTGATGCGTCTGAAATACAAATGCCGTGAAGGAAGGAACTCACTCTTGTATCCCACCATCTCACCCAGCACTACCTGCGTGTGTATTTTTGAGTGAATGCATGCAGTCACGCGTGCTTGTTTGGAATGGAGCCAGTCCCCAAATGTGACTCTGGGCCTGCAGGTGAAATCAGGGAAATAGGGACACCTGGCAGGTGTGGCTCAGGACTGTAGCTGACACCCATTCATAGCAAGAAAGTGTTACTAAAGACTGAAGAGCAGAGGCATATCTTAAAACCTGATGATTTGAATAAAGTTCTGACTTTCACTTAATTTCACTTTCACTTCTCCTTCCCTGCCTTATATTGGTTCTAGGGATTTTGTTTTTACCGTCATAGCTCGCCTGTACCTCTATTTGACCTTAGATAATTTACTCATATTTCCCGAAGCTATTAACTGAATTAATAAATGTGAAGCACTTAGTGTCTGGTACATTTCCTCTGTTAAGGAAGTATTTTCTCATATTCCTAGTTACAACCTCATTTCACGGTGGGAAAAAGGTTACCAAATATTACTAGTATTTCATCCATATTTGTTCCAGTGGTAAAACTTTGCTTATCGGTATTATTTCGTCATTTGTCTTTAAAGAGACTTCTGTCAAATAGTCCATGTTGCAATCTGAAGCCTAAGTTGATAAGAGTTTAATTACTACACTTTTCCTCATTTAGGATATATGACAGACTTTTTAAAAAACAAAATGTACTAACAAAATTTTTGCTAATATTGAAATAGGTCATTTTGAGGTTCTGTTATTTAGCAAAATATACATGTTGGGGGAAAACATACTATCTAAATCTATCATAATACATCTTACTGTACAGTTTTTAAGTACTCTGTGTGAGGCTTTTTATACTCACTAGGGTAGCAATTTTACATTTACATGCCTTTTTTTAGAACTGCATATATTATGAACATGTGAAAGAGAAAATAAGATTATTGAGGGCTTTACTAGGTGAATAAATATTATTTCATGATTTTTCAGTGATAACTAAATCTATATTATGTCAAGGAGTCATCAACCTGAAACTTTAATAACTTTTGGCGGAGTGACATTTTGAAAGTAAAATTAGTGTTTGGGGTTTTTTTTAATTCCATAAATGCCATGGGAATTTTATCATGTTTCAACACTTGCTGAATATGTAATTCCCATAGTGCCCATTAGTGGCCATCTGTGTAAGGTAATACATGTTTGGGATGAAATTGATTATGGCCTAAACACTCTTGTGTTATGATCAGGAAAAGCACACAAAGTTCACATCTTTTTTTCTAATAATCATTATGGAGCTAAAGATATTAATTTCCAGAGGCAGAACAGCCTATCACTCAAGATCCTAATCTCACAATAAAGGGACTCCAGGGCCAAAGGAAAGGAGGCTTGAGAGACTTCCACTAAAATTAGTAAGTGCTGCACTCGGAGAGCTTGGGGTAAAGGGGAAAATTAACAGGCATTGGAACACAGAATTTCCTTCTAAGGCATCAAAGTGAACCCATCGCGGTTTTGCTGAATTTTCAGAAATATTTCATTACCCTTTAGAAATTCCTGTTACAGCAACCAACACACTTCAAGTTAACCTTCCTTGTAACTGCTGTCAGCATATATATTGCTGGGCCAACCTCCTTGGTCCTTTGTACTATTTTTGCCTGGTTTGAAAAATGTTTTCTTTTTACATGTGCAAAACCAGGTGCTTTCCTTCTTTCAAATATGTTTTCAATGTTATCTCCTCAGTGCATTTTATTTTTATTAGATGTATACCTGTGTACTTCCTGAGCTCATTTATCCCCTTAGAGTAGAGCTAGAAAATATACTTGTTTATGTATCTCTAATGATTATATTCACATCTTGGCTCTCACATTATCTACTTGTGAAACAGATTACAAAACTAATTTTTTGGTTTAGAAAATTTTGAGAGCTTGTGTTACTGAACTGTCCCCATGATCATCTTCAAATCTCATGTCTCGGTAGAATATATAGCATCTGAACACGGCCCATATCCTGATCTTCCCTGGGATGTGGGCCAGAATGATTTAGGCTCATATGCCCTAAAAGTAGATGAAAGAATTGATGGAACCATTGTCTAAACATTGAAATACAGCCATTGTGATGTTGGCATAGTCGATGCTGAACTGTCCTTCCTTTTCATTCTTGAACTTCTTGATGATAATTATTCATCAGGTTATGATAGATTTCAAATCTGCTTTCCATTAAAGATAACAAAATAATACTGTCTCCTTCAAGAAGGAAATCTGACTTCCTGTCTTATATTTTATATACTAAGAAGTCATGCATCACGTGCTCCTAATAGCTGTATAAGTTGTTTGGAATATATTGAAAAGAAAATGGTCTAGAGGGCAGCAATACTTAATAACATTTAGGTTTTGGATTTTTTTTCTTTTGGTCATTCACTCAGTAAACATACTGATACAAAGATGAACAGGACATGATCCCTAATCTTGAACAAAATTGCCAGAGTCGTACATTTAAACAGCTAGTCTTCACATGATAAATTAAGAAGTGTAAAGAAGAGCAGAGTTCAGTCAGAGCATAGCAAAGGGGAAAACTTGTTTTAAGACATAAAAGGAAACTCAAAAAAGCAGTAACTTAAAAGAAGTAGGAGTTTGGCCTTACTGGATGAGCCAGGTGTCTCCAGACAAGATAATAGGAGAGGGTGTGTGTGTGTGTGTGTGTGTGTGTGTGTGTGTGCGCGCGCGCGCGCGCATATACACACATACACGCACGGACATACAAACACTAATGCATATGCATGCACATCTATATTTCAGCACGTGGCAAAGGCTATTGGCTAGCTAATTTAACACCATCCCCATCCCTCTTCTGCCTGTCACCTCCACTACAGGGGCTAGAAAAGCTAAATGCTAGTAACTAGGGTTGGCCATATTTAGAAATATGCTGAAGACTTTTAGAAATATTTTTGCCTTTCAAATAAGAAACAGATACAGTTGGTATCACCCCCTTCTTGTCTTCTCTGTGGCTATTATAATACTAGCTGTGACAGCCACCTTGAGACATTGAGAGAGATCTGAAGAATGAATTGAGATATGGCTGAGCCACCAAACTAATACCCATAACTACCTACTTCATTACTACTTATATAAGGAAAACTAAATCTTTACTAAGTTAGTTACATTTTTCTATTTATAGCCAAAGGCACTCCTAATTAATAAACTCATAAACTACACACACTCTTACTTGTTTGAATATATATTCAACTTTACTTTCCGTGTTTACCAAGACTTGGGACTAATTTTAGACTTCCATTTTGGTGATAAGAAAATAGAACTTAAAGAGGAACATAGGAAATGGGGTGCTCTCTTTGTTATTACCAACCTGGACACTGTCCTTAGCACTTAATTTCCCTTGATTCCATTCTGTCCTTGTTTTATATTTTAAATAAAAAAATGAAGGCAAGATTGCGAGAAAAAGATTGAGAAGAAAGATAAACCTTGAAGGGGGTCATGCTGGAGGTTAGGTTACGGGAAAAATAGGGTAAAACTGAGGCATTGCCACTAGCTAGCTGGGAACCCAAAGGAAGGAAGGATTCCCAGCTAGCTAGTGGCAGTGCCTGGTCACATGATGGAAAGAAAATTTTAAATCTTAGACCGTCGCTGTGCATTGCTATGTATGTAGGGGCAAGAACACCACTGCCTGTGTCCATCTGGCAGCCAGGTTTCCCTAACAGCCAAGAGATTATTCTTTCCCCCCCTTTAGGAAGATGAGAGCAGAAACCATTCTTCTCTGTGAGGGCTTAGAACAACTTTCCACAGAGCATACTGTTGCGTTCGGCCTGGTGTGAAAGGTACCATCTGATGAGCAAGGGATCTTTAATGGACTCTGACCTTCTACTGTGCAAATGTGAAACATTTTTAAGAACACTCCACCTGCTCTTTTTTTTTTTTACAGAGACTAATGTCACTTTGTTCAGTGTTCTCTTCATCATTTCTAATCATATCGTGTATATATTCCCTGACACTGCATCGAACTATAATTTAATAGTGTCGGCATATTTCCGGTTCTCTTTCAAACAGGTCTGCAAGGTGGCTTCTTCACTGTGGTGATCCTCAGTAGTTTTTGGTTTGGGGGGGGAGGGCGTGTTTTTAGTAGCTGCCTGCCTTTTTTTAACTGACTTTGATTTGCCCCTCGATAGTGTTTTTGTTGTTGCTGTTGTAGTTAGAATCAGTTTCTTACCTTAGAAGTACAGTAGGCCAGGTAGCCTCAGTCTCATGCCAAAAGCACTGGATGAAAGTCAGGGATCCCTAAGAGAGAGAACTCAATGGGCTAGTTGGAATTTACACCAGAGTCCATCAATTACCATTAGTCTTCGATTTAAAAGCATATACACACTTCAGTATTTTGTTTTTAGAGGATCTAAACTGGTCTTCTTCTTAAAATGTTTACCACTTATTTTCCCAGAATCTTCAGCTACTTGGAGCTACAGCCATTGAGGATAAATTACAAGATCAAGTGCCTGAAACCATAGAAATGCTCATGAAAGCAGACATTAAAATCTGGATCCTTACAGGAGACAAGCAAGAAACTGCCATTAACATTGGTAATTCACCTAATTCATACTTCAAATTTGATGCGTTTAAACAGTTTGATACATTATAGAAGGTAAATTGGAGGTATTTCAAGATTTGAAAGATTTGGTACTTTAAGATTTCTGTATTTATATTATTGGGCTTATCTATCTACTTATGGCCTCAGTGCCTCTTTAAAATTACAGTGGTTTTATATCCAGCCTAACTGTAGCTCTTGCGGCCACATAATACCTTTTCTCCCCTTCGTATTGCTTCCTACCCCCACCTTCCATCCACAGTTGGCATGTGTAGATAACATTTCTGCAGTTACCTGTGAAAGTCTAGAAATTGGGATTATGGCACGTTGTGTATTGATGCTTGTTTATTTGACCAAAGGTTGTTTCTGAGATAGGAAGTAAGAAGGTTGCCAGTTTCCATTCATTCTACAGTTAATTCCATTTTTTGTAAACAGGTTATTAGGTCAGGCTGCAATAACATTATGCCACAGGTTGGGTGGCTTAAACAACAGAAATAAATTTTCTTACAGTTCTGGAGGCTGGGAGTCCAAGATCAAAGTGTTGGCAGGTCTGGCTTCTCCTGAGGCCTCTTTTTCTGGCTTGCAGACAGCCACCTTCTCACTGTGTCTTATGGCCTTTCCTCTGTGCACAAGGATTCTTGCTGTCTCTTCCTCTTACTATAAGGACACCAGTCCTGTTCATTCAGAACCCCATTCTTATTATCTCATTTAACTTGAATTGACTTTTTAAAGTCCCTACCTCCACATGCAGTCACATTGTGGGTAAATGTGTGAATTTGGGAGGAACACAATTCCGTCTGTAACAAGAGAGCTTACTGAGAAGAAAGTTAGTATTTGGTGTTAGAGGCCTGTAGTACCAATAATATGCATAGAAACGTCACTTCTTTTTTCCAAATTCAGTAATGGTAGGTTGCCTGAGCCTTATAAACCCTGACATAGATTCAGCCTCTGGATATTAATGGTATGAATTACACACAAAACTCACCCAAAGTTAAAGAAACCATTTCAGAGGTGTTCACAGCAAGAAACCACATTTTCAGAAAGTCATGATTAAGTATCATCTGTCTAAAAACATTTAGCTAATATTCCTTTTACAAGTGTAGTAATCATAGTATTCAGTACACATAGAAGTACCACAAAGTTATAGTAAATTGATGTTAATAGAGGAAAATTAAATTTTAAAATACACTAGCTAGAAGTTTAAATCTATAAGCCACACAGGTTGTTAATTTTTATTATAAAGACTGTCACTGGTGTTAGAGACAAGATGAAAAGAAGATGTACAAGGATACAGACTGCATCAAATTTAAGTGCAAAACACAAACGTGATCAAACATAGCTACAGATAGAGGGGAGAGTATATGGTGGTAAAGAGTGGTATGGGAGGAAAAGAAATCCTGAAAAAGTAGCTCAGGATATGCAGCCAAATGAAAGGCCCTGTGAAAAGAAGAGTATGGTTGTGGTTCCCTTGTTCCTAGAAAAAGATAGGTAAGATTCATGCATTTAGCAAAAAAGGAGTGACATTCTCTTGCATGTTATTGGTACAAAAGGCCTCTAACCAAATACTAACTTTCTTGGATTGTTTTCTTCCTTTTGGGCAAGGAACAAAACAACCCAAAATCTCTGCACTCCTGGAGCTCAGGAAAACAGACAGTAAAGTAAATGAGAAAGACACGTAGTATATTAGATGCAAAAATTGCTGTAAAGAAAAATAAAGCAGGAAAAGGAGATAGGGTGTTGCACAGAGAAATTGAGTTTTAAAACCTGTAGGTCGGGAGGACCTCCTTGAGAAGGTGACACTTGAGGAATGACCTAAGAGAAGAGAGGGAGCTTGTCACTTGGATGATTAGGGGAAGCTGTCTTTTGTTCTAGACCAAAAGAGCAGAAGTGGGAAAGGGGAGAGGAGGAGAAGGGGCGGAACAGAGTACAGGTCGGATGGGGCCTCCGAGGCTGTTGTCCGGACTTTGCGTTTGCTCTGAGTGAATGGGCAGCCATCGGACAGTTCTGAGCAGAGGAGCGACAGGATCTGTCTTTCCTGTGAAAACAGTCAGTTTGGCTGCTAGACTGAGAATGGACTCAAGGGGAAAGCAGATGTGGAAGTAGGGAGCCCCGTGAAGAGGCTCTTTAACCCAGGTGAGACATAATGGTGGGCTGGACCCAGGTGGCGACAGCGGGGGGGTGAGAAATGCCGGATTCTGGATATATTTTAAAAGCAGAGCCCACAGGATTAACTGATAGGTTAGCTGCAGAGTGTGAGACACAGAAAAGTATCGGGGTAACTCCAAGGATTTTTAGCCGTCGCAACTGAAGGACGGAGTTGCCATTAACTAAAATGAGGAAGACTGAAGGGGAGCAGGGTTTCGGGGGGGCTCCGGAGGCTGTCTTTTGGACGTGTGAAGTTCGAGATGCCTGTTTTATACCTAGGTGTCTGCTGTTAAGTAGGCACTGGGATGTGAGAGTCTCGAGTTCGGGAAAGAGGTCTTAGCAGGAGATACGAGTTCCAGAATGGTCAGCAGTTAGATGGTATTTAAAAGCATGGGAAGGATTAGATCATGGAGTGAGCGCGGATGGTATGGTTTCAAATGCATGTAATGGTAACGTTTGCAGTGTGAGACCGGTCAGAGGGGGTGCCTGTTTTTCTCCAACCACATTCAACTGTAGGCAAACGGGTTCAGAGCAAGCGGGTTGGTGTAACCAGCCGGTGGTTTTGCCCCGCAGCAAGCACAGCAAAGCCAGAGAGCGCAGGAAAGGGGCGGGGGTGCCGGGGGAATAGTGGCCCAGGAGATAGCCAGGCAGCCCTCCCCGGTCTCCCCACAGCCACCGGCCGCCTTCTGCTCTTCCTGCTCATCGTGAAGGATCTTCCCTGTGCGTGGGTCAGTCTCCAGGGCACTGAGTCATCACCACAGTCTCTCTCCACGCTTGTTTATCAGGACAGCTGTAGCGGGCAGGCGCTGTCCCTCCTGCAGCAAGGCCACTTCTTCCTGCCTTCCTGCAGTCCTGGAAAAGACCTGGCTGGTACCCGCCTAATGAAAGAGATACAGTCTTAATTTTATCTAAGAAATAGACTTAAAAATTAAATTTCGATATTTTATGGTATTACTTTAACATCGCTTCTCTCTAGAGAAATTAATTATATCAATTAATTCACTTTATGTTTGGACATAGGACACTCCTGCAAACTTCTGAGGAAGAACATGGGAATGATCGTCATAAATGAAGGCTCTCTGGATGTAAGTAAAGTCATCTTTTTTAAAAAAAAAATTCTTTAACTTAATCATCTCGTAGAATTTTATTTTATATGCAGATAGCTGTGAAAATCTTTTGTCTTCCTGCGGTTAAATGATACCTCCTTACTACTGTCCTGCCGTAATACAGTGTACACTCTTTGAACCACATAAATGTCAATAGGTTGCAGCCCCGTGTCTGACACCTGAAGGAAATCGCTTACTATTGAGACCAGAAAACTGCTTTACAAAAGCTTCATGGGAGGAGGTTACTGAGTGACTGCGGTTTTTTTATATCTATCTGGGTATCTTGTATATTATGAGTTTAATATTCCACTTTAGAGTCCAGTGATTATATATATTTTGCTTCTTTTAAAAAAAGTCGTGAACATGACTGAACAACAAAAATAACCATTGCTACTAGGAAAGGTTTTTTTTTTAATGTTCTAACTTCTGGGCTGAAATATAAATTCCTAGGCCATCTTTTTTCATGGCTGTGATAGCCTGAATTTGTATTTAGGGAAGGGGGAAAGATTTATTACGTGCACAGTATAAAATAGACATTAACAAAGAAATATGTAGATTAAATGACCTGTAAATATTTTAAAGTAAAGGTGACAATTTGTAACTTAAGGTGGGAGACAGAACAGGAGAGGTGGCTATACAAGTGCTTGAAATAGTCATTGTGACACAGAGCAGAGCAGAGACAACCTGATAATTCGGGGTGTTGGTGAAGATGTGAGGCCAACACCCCAAATGTAGGTGTTGAAGGATGAAGAAGGAAGGGATGGTGAAGAGGCAAATGTTTAAAAGTTGAGTATAAAACAGAAATTCTGGCCTGGCCGGCGTGGCTCAGAGGTTGAGCATCAACCTAGGACCCAGGCAATCATGGTTCGATTCCCGGTCAGGGCACAGGCCCGGGTTGCGGGCTCGATACCCAACAGGGGGCATGCAGGAGGCAGCCGATCAGTGACTCTCATCATTGGTGTTTCTCTCTCTCTCTCTCTTCCCCCCTCCCTCTCTCCCTTCCTCTCTCTGAAATCAATAAAAACATATTTTTTAAAGAAAACAAAAAAAGAACAGAAATTCTGTATAAGGAGTTGACTTCCGATTTTTACATTGGAATAATGATCTCTTCACTATTTGTCCTCAAAACGGTCCTTGTGATGCCCTGCCCTTTCTTGTGAAATCTTTGAGCAAACTTGTTGCCTGAGGAATAATACTTGAAGTTTCCACTTGAAAGTTGCTTATGCCTTTAACTATTGGAGAAGTACTTTTTGTCAACCACACTTTAATCCTAAAAACACAAACCAAAATAAGCTAGCCTGCTATTTGAAGACTTTCCTTTATATTTATTCATTCACTAGGCCCCCTGCTAGGCACTGGGAACACAGCATTAAACAGGTTACCGTGGACTCGTCCCCTTAGAGGGTATAGTTGAATCCCTTCTCCACCCTGCATACGTATTAATATTGGTTTATTTATCCAAGTTACTATGTTGGAAAAAATTATGACTAAGACAGCCCAGGCTTCCAGAAACTTATAAATAATAAGAGAAATAAAGCGCATATAAGTAACAATACAAAACAGGTATGTAATAAGGTAGGTTGTTTGCTATGAAAACACGGTGAAGTTTAGGGAAGTATTTATGAAGTAAGTGGTATTTAGTTAGATCCAGGTGAGTAACTGAGTAAGGGGAGAGTACTTGAAGCAGAAAGTTATTGCAAGTAAGTTGAAGGTCTATTTGGGGCATGAAGGAGGAACATTGAACTTGAACACAGGGTTGTAATTTTTAAAGTATTTTTTGTTTGAATAAAATATAGGCACATACTATAAAATTCAAGTTTAAAAAGGGAAAAGTACGGATGGGAAAAAGTTTACCTCCCAGCCTTGTACCCAGTTTCCCTCCCCGGGGCGACCCCTGGCCCCAGTTTCCTGCGTGCCCGGGCAGACATACTCTGCCGTATCTAAGGGATGTGTGTGTCTGTGCACACTCCCTGTTGTCAAACACACACTGCGGCGTACTGTTCACACTGCTTCATACTTCGCTTTCCTCACTTACTATATCTTAGCAACTAAGATATAGTATGTATGAAGCTACCTGATTCTGTTTTAATGGTGGCACAGTATTTATAGGCTACCTGGAAAGAAATGACATGGGAAGTCAAAACTGGAAAGGCGGTCTGAGGTCGGGGTGGAAAGCTGGGCCAGGCTTGAGACTTCGCCTCCGTAGGTAAAAGGGGCAGTTTCATCAGCCTCTGAAAAGAGGCAAGATATGTATGAGCAATTGTACATAGGTGAGTTTGGAGGGGGGGGCCTGGGGTGCAGGCAGAGGACCGGGATGAGTTCGGTAAGAAGAACGAGGGCGCCATGCCAAGATGTGATGTGAGAGGAATTCTGGAGACCTGTCCCACATGGTCCCTGGAGAAGGAGACTCCACATGGTTCCAGAACTGGGCTACAGCTGTTCACAGCTTTGTGCAAACCTCAGTGGAAGCCATTCCCACAGCCCCTGGAGATAGATGGTCAGGCCTTGTCAGCAATATGCCTCATTCACGGGATGTGGCTTTTCTGACGCTTGAAGGAAATCAGAACAGGACCTGTGGTGTTGACACAAAGGCATGATGAGCCATGCTTGACTTGACATGTGAGTCCTGTTGTCGGGAGTTAGGCTCTCACCTTATGCGGAATGTGGCCCCATTGTTTCCCTTGTTTTCATCTGTTTCATCATTTTTCTGCAACTCTTGGATAGACATGTTCTTTAAGAGTTTTAAGTATCATGTAAATAATAATCTCAAGGGGAAAAAAGTGAAATGCCAAAAATATTCAGTGTACTACATCGTGTATTGTTAAGAGAGTGGCATTTATTTTTATTTTGAAGCCTCCAAGAGGGTAACTCAAAAGTCATAAACACCTCAGAGGTATCTGCACTGCCTGTTTCTCCTGGAGGACACAGGAGTCTAAAGGGAATACTCAGTGTCAGTGAAAGCAGGGACCTTGTCTGTCTGTTTCAGTTTACCATTTTCTCTGAATGCTGAGCAAATTGCCTAGCACATAGAAAGTACTCCATAAATATTGGAGAAGTCAGGCACTGAGTAATTTTAATTAGGGCTTCCTGTAAAAAAACAAGTTGCATATCAGTTTTAAATTTCATAGTAATCAACCATATCTGATATTTAAAATTTAAAGTGGTTAGCATTGTCCTTTGCAATTCAAGTGACAGTTTGGTGTGTACAATCACAGGCACACCCTGTGGCTGAGTAGATTAGCACTAATTTGTCCAGCTCCCGGACTATCAAGCATTCTCTCACTGCTGTCGAGGGGAGGGGAGAGGTTTCTCCCGGGGAGTTAAGTGGGAACTTTACAAAGCCAGCTGTCTAGGGTCAGACCTGCTGTGGTGCACTCATTTGCTTCTCAGCAGGAAAGGAAACATTACTTTGCATAGCTCCCTCAGATCTTGTGTCATAAAATCCACGGCTGAGATTTAGATGTGCTAGGATGCCTATAGGTAAATCATTATTGATTTTTTCATTGCCATGGAAAAGAAGAGCATCCTATGTGTTCAAATTGTACTGATAATAATAACTTTTGGGACTGCCATTCCATGAGCAAAAAGAATAATTAACATTTAGGTAATAAACTTAGGAATGTAATGTCTTAGGAAATAATATAATGGGAAATAAACTGTGAGTGTGTGTTTTGTCAAATGACAGTTTTAGTGAATATTCTCAAATGATTCCACGAAATAGCACAATATTTAAGAGCACTGTTCTGCCCTAACCGGAAGGGGACCCTGAGCAAGTTGAAATTAGATAACTTCTCTGAAGCAGTTTCGCTGCCTGTAAAGTGAGGATAATGTTACCCTTGGCATACGATTAGTATGGGACATGGCGCATATAAAAATGAGATGTTATGAAACTTTGTAGAAAAATAATATTTCAATTGCTTGCAAGATGTTTTGCATAATGATCTTTTTATTATGAAAAATATATTATTTTCCCACCTTTGAATTTTTTCTTAAGATAGCAAGTTATAAATGTAGATCCTTTTGCATGGTGATGCATATTGCTATGAACTGTTCAAATTTTCTACCAAAATATTATCTCTAATACTATGAAAATTTTAAAGCTGAATCTCTTTTATTATGCTGAAATTGTACAAATAAAGTATCATATTTAAGTCTCCTAGATTTCCAAATAGAAAAACCTTTCTCCTGGTGATGGTAGTAAAAAAAAAATCTGTCTTCTCATAATCCAGTTCATCTCAGACAAAAAAATGCCACTTGGCTTTCTAATTTTATTTTGAGTTTCAATACGATTATTCTTCTTGAAAAATTAATGGCCATTCAGCATTTTTAAAAACCTTTAAATAAACAAAAAACACCAAACTACAGTTAAAAATACAAAAGAATGGAAGTCTTGGTCTAAAGATCTAATACGGAAACCTGGCTGGTCTTTTTCCTCTGCTCATCCAGCTCCTTAGCATAACAAGAGCAGCATGATGCCCAAGGGCAAAGCTGGGTGCCCGCACCCCCCTGCCTACCAGGCTAGAGTCAGCTGCTGCAGTCAGCAAAAGTGTCTCTTTTTTTTTTAATTTAGAAAGTAAGAATTTCATGGGTAAGCATCATTAAGAATCATCTAAAAGTTGATCAAAATCTGTTAGGTACTTACAATGAATAGGTAACTTAGATGATTTGTATAATTTTTTGTCACGCTACTTTGAACCACTTTAGTGGGGGTTTCTGATTATGTTCTTGGTATAAGAAGATTTCCTTGGGGGTCTAACATGGCAGGAACATGAATTTAGTGGCTTGAATGGGTACACTGTGCTTCTTTCTTAACTCCATCTAGGACCTCTCAGAAACCCTTCCACTTAATGACCTGGATCCAAGAGATTGTTCTAGCATCTATTTTATAGCTTTAGTTTGTTATAAAGTAATTTGTTCCAGCAAATTTGTTTAAAGTCTATTAAAACTGGAAACATCTAGAAATGTGAGCTAGGAACTAG